GATAGTGAAACAAAATCACCACCTCAACTATAATTTTAACCGGAATAAAAATGTCATTGAAAACGGATTTCTGCCAAGAATCGGCATTTTAACCAGAATTAAGCTTGATCTATGCGTAGTTACTGCATATTTGTACTAAACATAGTCGAAGTCATACCCCTAAACATTGCACCTAATCTCAAACACGACATAAGTCGCATTTAGGGGGAGGGCGCTCCGCCCCGTGCACCCCCCCCCCTAACACACTCTTTAAGAACGTCTACCGTCCCATTCAACGAAAAATACTTTTTATTAAAACCATTTTTTACCTGTCCGCCACCTTCCAAAAAATTTAATCGCCGAAAATTTCAAGAACCCCCCCCCCCCCCTACCTAAACAATGGTCACATGTGTCGCTCATACAAACTAAAGGTAGAGACTACTTCTATAATATAGACATGTTTCCTATTTTCGAACGATAATTTTTTTTCACGCAGACAGTGTTCGTTTCAGGCTTTTTTCCTGGAAGGTGGAGCTCTTGAATTTTTGGAGGGGCGAATAAATTTCGACGGGTCGGGGGAGGACGACACTGGTAAAAGTATATATCTGCTATATAAATTATATTATTTGGGGGTGGGGAAGGATTAGACATTCTACCGGAGGGAGGGGAGGTATTAGGCGTTCTACCGTCGGGGGGGGGGGGGGGGAGAATAGACGTTCTACCGTGGGTGGGGGGGTGGGGAGGGATTAGACGTTCTACCAGGGGAGGGGAGTAATTAGGCATTCTACCGTGGGAGTTGGGGGCTGGGGAAGACCTTCTACCGTAGGGGTGGGGTGGGGGTAAAGGGGCTTTGCCCCTACCAGAAGAGAAACTCTTCACGCAAAACACATATAATATTAGACACATAATTTAAGCCATAATGTCAATATTTTTATTATGGAGTATCGATGACGTCACTTCTTTGAGGGGGTAAGGGGTTTCGGTATAGACGTTCTACTGGAGGGTGGGGGCTTCGCCCTTTCCCGAAGAATTGCATGAAAGAAACTCTGCACGCAATCCACTTTTAAGATTAGAAAAAAATGTTTTTTTTTATTCAATGTTTACTCGAGGATCAATGACGTCATATTATTGTGTGCACTCTCCTGGCTTTCGACTATTTCCTACTATATGCTCAATGTGACGTCATGTTTCGTTTTCGTTTTACTATGAAAGCTTTTATTTTGTTTGTGTTTTCTATATAGCGTTCTTGTCAGATAGATACGCTGATACATAGACAGACAGCGAAACTATTAGTATAGACGAGAAAAATGGCCCGTTAAGGAAGGATACAACGGGCGCTAAGTTGATAGTGCTGTCTCTTTTCTCTGAACAAAAACCAAAACCAAAATCACCACCTTAATTAAATTTAACCGGAAACGAAAAATGACATGGAAAACGGATTTTTATCCAGAATCGGTACTTTAATAGGATTTAAGCTTGATCTCTATGTAGTTACTGCACATTGATACTAAATATAGTTGCAGCGATACTCCTAAACCTTGAAACTAATCTCAATCATGACAAAAGCCGCATTTAGAGTTTCTTTTAGACGACTCTACTTGCCCCCTCTCACACACACATCTGAAAGCACATATACCGTCCCATACAACGAAATAGAATTTATATTGAAAGTATAGGCTACTTCACAAGTGCCCCCCACCCCCTGCTCGAAAATTTAGTACACACTCACCCCCGAATAATTCAAGTACCCCCCCCCTCTCAGGGGAGGAACAATTCTGAAAGAAACACTGATCGTATTTGTTGATCATACAGACTAAAGGTAGAGCCTACTTCTATAATTTAGACCTCATTTCCTACTTTTGGCCGATAAATCTCACTCAAGCTGACAGTGTTTCTTTCAGATATTTTTCCGGGGGTTGGGTACTTGAATTTTTGCAGAGGCGAATAAATTTATACAGGGCGGGGGAGCCCGACACTGGTAAAAGTATAATATATTTTGTATATAAATTATATTTCGTTTTTTTAGGGGGAGGGATTAGACGTTCTACCAGGGAGAGGGGGGGGGGAGGGTTAAATGGGCTTCGCCCCTACCAGAAGAGATCCATGAAAGAAACTCTGCAAGCAAACACATTTTTAGATTAGACACATAAATTAGGCGGTAATTTTATTATAGAGTATCGCTGACGACATTTATTTTGAGTTTCTGGTGGGGGGCGGATTAGACGTTCTTACGCGCAGGTGGGACTTCACCCCTCCCCGAAAAATTGTATGAAAGAAACTCTTCACGCAAACCACTTTTAAGAGTGGACAACACTGGCTTTTTAATTCAATATTTACTTAAGAAACAATGACGTCATATTACTGTGTGCACTCTCCGGCTGTAGACTATTTCCTACTATATGCTCCACGTGACGTCATGTTTCGTTTTCGTTTTACTATGAAAGCTTTTATTTTGTTTGTGTTTTCTCCATAGCGTTCTTGTCAGATAGATAGATAGATACACAGATACATACACAGACAGCGAATCTATTAGTATAAATGAAATAAAGCCCAAACTTTTATTTATCTTTCAGTTTTTTCAGCTATTCCCGGTTATCAGAAGTGGAACGTATTTCGTTTTTGGTTTATCAAGAGCCTTTAACTTGAGTACTGTTTCAGATGGTGACAGGACAAATGATATCAGGACAAATGATCTCAGACAAAATATCTCAGCAAAATATCTCACGGATAAATGATCTCAGGACAAATGATCTCAAGGACAAATGATCTCACGGACAAAAGATACCAGGACAAAATATATCAGGACAAATGTTACCACCGACAATTAATCTCAGACAAAATATCTCAGACAGAATATCTCACACCTATATTTTAATAGTATGTTGGGTGACTTTAGTTGATCTGAACAATCCTAATATATAAAACGCCATGTGCGCTCTTCTCTCTCTCTCTCTCTCTCTCTCTCTCTCTCTCTCTCTCTCTCTCTCTCTCTCTCTCTCTCTCTCTCTCTGTCTGTCCGCAAAATATTTTCGCCGGACATCACGTCAGAAACGGCAGCGATATATGGAGAACTTTATACGGACTTTTGTTGAAAATAATATGTTAGATGTTTTAAATGTATAACCACAATTTTATTTAAAGAAGAAAAATAAAAAAATCAAGGCGTATTTGAATGTAGAAAAACAATTTTATTTATGCAACCGGAAAAGCATTAATAGATGTGTAAAAGAACGCATAAAACTGTGACGTCACTATTGCTTACTAATGACGTCATCTGCCGTGTTTAGAATAAAAAGAAATGAACTATTTCATTTAAGTTTGATTTAGATCTACGTACACTATGAAATGTACACAATACAATTTTTCCGGCCCAAACTCATAAAATTTATTTTATTTATTTGGATTCTAGATCTAGAGATTCTAGATCTAGACTAGATCTAAATCTACAAATCTACGCAATATCTCACAATCTAGATCTAGATCGAGACGTAGACGCTAAGATCTAGATTTAGACTCTAACTTCTCTAGAATCTATTCCAAAACTAAATTTCTATATTAGGACTACACAATTTCAAGACATAGATCTAATTATTTTATACAAAACCTTTGTTTGGAGCTGGCTAATTTCAATATTTGGGATAAAAAAATAATTTGAAAGAATAGGCATATTCGCGTAAGTTAAGATTTTAAAATACGTCTTTCATTCTCCAAAATTTATAAGGTGCCTATATAGTGGAGATGATAGTCAACTTGGTTAATCTATTTTTTTTTTATTTTGCTCGGGCTAAACTTAAAAAAAAAAAATTCTATTAGGATTCTAGATCTAGATGATCTAGATCTACGGAAAAACTAGACTTACACAGATGTAGACCCTACCTAGATCTAGAATCTATTCAAACAATACATTTCTATACTAAAGTATTTTAGGCCTTTATTACTTTATTGAAATCTTTGTTTAGTTATGCAATTTGCTAATCTCTATAATATATAAAGCAAAGTTGTCGGGTGTCCGACAGGGCACTTCCCAACGCCGCAGGCGCTTCAAATTTGGCAGGATCTTGCCTTGGGGCGACAGAATACGAGGGCCGGTTGGCCGAAAAGTCTTCTACAATGAGGGGGTCAAAACTGACCTCGACTGACCGGCGCCTTATATGAGCTATAAATGGAAAAAAAATTGTCCGTGGAGGAATCTCTTCATAACTCTTGAGGTTGTAGACCGACCCTCGGGCGAATTAATTAAGCATTAAAATTCTCAATGTTTTCGAAAGCCTAAGCGAAGCTGGGCAGCATGCGTAGTTTTTATTAACTGTCGTCAGAAGTGGTTTATCAAACCAATTTCATCCACCCCCCCCCTCTCCAAGTGTCGCTACGCCACAATTCCTCTGAGACACAATTCTATTTTTAGCTCTAGGTTTGTCGATAATGTAAATTTATTTTTATAAATAAACAAACGTAATAGGCAGTACTTTTAATTTTTTTGTAGTGCTAACACTGTTACGATATGTATGCTGGCCCCTATCAACCACAAATCTTTGTCACTTATTTATTTGTAAGTCAGATAAACCTTTAAACAAAAAGAAGTATCATGCTGTAGCAACGGCATCTATAATTATCAAACAAGAGACTGATGCTATGTGAACACATTAACATCTTACAACGTGTGACGATGCAAAGTTAAATCTCTTAACTAGGTTTGTTTCTGCCATTGAAAATTGATCAAATTTTAACAGTAGCCGAATTGCGATGCGTTTAACAGATATACTGAAACATTTCTAGGTTAAGTTTAGAGAAACGTAGCCTACTTTTTTCTTTCATATTGAATTTAAAAAAAAAAGAACTTAATTTAATAAAATAGTTGTTGCAGTTAAAAAATGTGAAATTAGTAATAAAAAATAAACGAAGTTTAAAAAAGCAACAATAATTCAAAGTACACACTATATTTATAATTTTTCAATAAAAATTAAAATATAAAACAGAAACAAGTACGTTTTTTATCAGATACATATAAAAATGAAGCATGTTAAATTTCAAACATTCTGGTGAAAGTAATGCTATCAATGGTATCGGAGTGGGTAAAGGGACTTTCATATTTAAATAAGTGTACGGAGATTTTATACCCTTTGATCAGGCTAAATTGTTGATCGGAAAATGAGTTATATTATCTATTTCAATGGGATGTTCTATTGTTTGAAAAGTAACATGTTGCCAATAAATACAAATATACTAACAAAAAAATAAAATCAAAATGTAAAAAATACAATGGAGAAAAAGCACATTTGTGTGTTCCCAACAGAGTTGCATAGGATGTAAAGCTGTTCTCCTTTTAAGTAAACAAACCCGTAACATTATCCCAAAATCTTCTCAAGAAACCTCTATTAGCCTTTTCAAAAATCACTTCATACCGTTCTTGAGTTTCAGCTAGTTCACGTTTAAGTCTTTCGGTTTCCTTCTCTTGAAGCTTTTTGTTTTCCGCCCTCTGTTTTTCTAATTCTGCATGTTGTCTGTCAAATTCTTCCTTTGCTTGGCGTCTTATATGCTCTTCTTTTTTTTTATTTTCTTCCTCCATACGCTTTTTTTCTTCTTTCATTTTTTTTTTTAATTTCTTTTTTTCTTCGTCAGCTTTATCTTTGTTCATCAACTGAATTTTAAGTTCAAACATCTTTATTTCATTCTGCATTCTCACTTCTATTTCTGCGGTTTCTTTCTCAATTTCCTGTGTTTTCTTAAAAATCATCTCCTCTGCCTCTCTTTGTATCTTCTCTTCTAGCTCTTTCATTTTTTTATCATCTTCAATTATTTGAGTAGCGTGGTTTATTTTATTCGTCGCGTCAGTTCTGGTCTGCTTCACGTTATCTAACAATTCCTTCAGTGCTCCAGTGCCCTGATCTTTTTCTGTTAAGTCTTTAATAATAGCATCTATTTGTGGCAAAAGACGTACCAATGCATCTATTTTCCTATTTTCGTCTCGTTCAAAATCGCAATTTTTTATTTCATCTAGAATTAAAGTTTGAGCTTCCAATGTCTCTTTTCGGATCATGGGTAACTTTGAGGTAATATACATGTGCTTACGTTTAAGTGCAGCCTTTTCAAAAAGTTCATTTGAGTATCTAGCTCCGCCATTAGGGAGACGCTCCACCATTTCAATTAGATTTTTAACTTGCTTGTTCTGTTCTGCGGTATCTTCCGTAACGTTGTCGAACAAAACAATTCTGTTGCTACACTCATTTAAAAGATCTTTGAAAGGACCTTCCTCTTCATTGCAATATTTTTCCATTGTCAAACCTTTTTTTTCTTCTCGTTTGAAAGCATCCCCTTTGGTCAAGATGATAATGCCGTAATTTTTAAGGAAATCTTCTCCCAGTATACCTTTTAGTATTTGAATAGCTTTTTGTTCATCCGGAGTAAATCGTTGTGTAAATTTTACAACAACTAAAAAAGCGTGGTAACCGTCAGGATTAACTTCCACAGCCTCCTCCATGGCTCCTGTGATAAGTTTAATGTCCTCATCTTTCTTTGAATCTGTATCAATTACTCCTGGTGCATCCACTACTTGTATCTTATAATTTTCAAACTTACTCACTTGGTATTGTGGTTCTTTTGTCACAGAGGCTGATCCATAATTGCTATTAAACACATCTTCTTTTCTTAAGATGGAATTACCTGTGGCGCTTTTTCCATTTCCTGTTTTGCCAATTAAAATGAAGTCCAACGGCTTAAGAATATTCATTTTAAACTGTAAAAGAACGGAAAAATAATTTGTATGCTTATTAAATTAAAGTTATAATTAGATGTATTGTCATAGAAAACTCAATAGTCAAGGCGATATCGGTTGGCACGTAGCTTGTTTTTCAAATTGACTGTGTGGAACAAGTCAACTGGTGATGCTTTTAATAAACATAATTTTTTAATAAAACAAGGACAACCAGTTAGTTAGAAAGAGAAAAATAAGAAGCACTAAAGAAATTTCGGGATGACTTTCTGTTTGATGTTTTATTATGCATGTAGCATATGTTTTTAAATAGATCATTTTTTTATATTTGAAATACTATTTGATTTATGAATAGGTGCATTTGTATGGAGGCTTTTTAAAAATTATATATATATATATATATATATATATATATATATATATATATATATATATATATATATATATATATATATATATATATATATATATATATATATATATATATATATATATATATATATATATATATATATATATATATATATATATATATATATATATATATATATATATATATATTGCACTGTTAAACTAAGGCAACGGCTTAGTTTGCTGTTTAATTAGAATAAGACAGGTAGATAGGAAGGAGCTGATTGGTTAAATATTTCATAAAGAATAGAGATGTCAATTACAACTGTCCATTTACCTTTTATCACCCCCACCCCGGTGACTAAGGGTCGTCTGAGATATTAATATAAAAATAAAATTGACATTTACAAATATAGTTAGGTCTCTGGCCCATGTGAAATTTAACGTGTCATTGAAATTCCAGGTAAACGATAAATTGCATTTTAAAAGTTGTAGCTGTTGTCCAAGTAAAAGGCTTAATTTTCACGCATTTAAACATAAGTAGACAATTGTGTTTAGTTGGCAATTATTTTACATTGCATTTATTACATTTATTCAAATACCAATTTTATATTTAAGTCCTACTACGTAAGTTAAACATAGTATTAGTGTGTTGGCAAAATTAAGAAAAATCTACGTAAATGTTATTACACAACTTTGTTTTCAAATTGACGGTTTCGTGATATACAAAATTCACTAGTACGTACCGTCAAGGAACGCTCCAATCCAATGCAAATAATCTTCGATTTTATAGTTCAATATATGCAACCCGTTCACAGCGACAGAGGTGGACTAAATGCGGTCTCAAAAAGGCTGCACACAAAGAGACTCGCTACATATTTAACGCAAAGCGCATGCGTCTAGCTGTAGATACAAATAGGCGTAATCTTATAACTAGTTTCACGCGGCTAAATCTGTATTTACATCCACCGATACCAGATATAACAAAGAAATTTCAAACGCGCAGGAACCGACATAGGTCTAGACAATCTGTTCATGTTTGGTCCATCTTCGGTTCATAGGTCGGTTCATGTTCACTTTAGTATTTTTCAAAAGACTTTTGTGGCTTTTTATCTATGACTTTATTTCTGCGGCTTGTTTTTTTCTATAAAAATTTTCTCTCGTGATTTTTTTCATGTTTTATTTTCCGTACTTAATCTTTTAGCGCAATTTCCATTCTGGAGAATTGCGTTTATTAACCCGTCATTTCTGGATGTATGAATGTATGGATGTATGAATGTGTGTCCGCAGGTTTAAGTCGTATCTCCTCCTCAATGAAGCAATATCGAGGACTAGTTCCAAAAGAAATTATGTTAAGCAAGTTACCAGGATGATAGTGGGCCAAAAAATTCCGGGTTTCTTTCATGGATTTCCCGGAAAAGCCAAAACAAAAAGCTCCAAAAAATGCAGTTTTTTGCCCATATCTCGGCAACCAGACCAATTAGCGACTTGAAACATTTACCAATCGATTCCTACCATAATTTAGAACAATATTGCCGAAGAAAGTTTTCAAAAATATCCTTTCGTTCGGTCACAAAATGTTTTTTGAATTAATTAAAATTTGGACCGAATTACTAGGCATGATTATCCAACCACACCACACGCCTCATCACGTTCAATAGCTGCGCCATCACGTTCAAAGGCTGCGTCATCACGTTCAGTAGCTAGGCGCGCAATGGATTTTAGTCATGTAACTCTATTGTAAATAAAACATGTACAATACTAAAAAAAAATAAATAAAAAACGTTTTAATAACTAACCAATTGTTTTACTAACCCTGCTCTTGATTTACGTTACGACAGAGCTATTTTTAGATAACATAAGGAAAATTGCGCTAAATTGTCACTAGACTTTTTAATTACCTTGTTTAGTAAGAAAAAAGTCTCAAAAAAAAAAAAAACACTGAAAAAAAACACAGTAAATAAAGTCATAGGAAAAAAAGTATCAGGAAAAAACGTCACAAATGTATTTGCGTAGAATGTGTTAATACTTATTTGTATTAAATATTCAGCGAATGCAAATCTACTTACGATTTATTAAAATGTAATAAAGTATCTAGGTTGTATTGTAATATTTATAACACATGTAAAATATTTTGTATGAACTATTCAGGTTTTAATTCAGTTTTACATATAAAATATAGTAGTTTATAGAATTAAATATAATGTTTATCCTGTTTTTTTAATACTAAATTTAAATAAACACGCTATGGTACGAAGACTTAGTTAATAAGACTTGCTGTCCTTAACGCGCCGCAAGAATAGTTTAACCAGCTGTAGGTGTACTGCCCAAATTTATTACGCTCATAACAATCCAACGCATAGAATCAAAACAGAAAACCGACAATATCATAGGCGCATAACGTAAACAACACACAGTGTGGACGGACAAGGCTGACTGAGGAGAAGCCGTCCAAGGAATTGCTTACGGTAAAGCACATACAAAACACAAAGAGGTGCCTACATTTCTTTTACAAATAACTTTTCTACGACTAAATACGTAACAAAAATTGAGGTTGCTCCGTAAATTATCAGATAGTATTTTTATTTATTACTAGAATACCCGTCATCCATTGGATAACTGTGGGTTTCGGGGGTCATCCATCAAAAAACATTACGTCTGTCACTCAGAGGCATAGCGAGCCTTCCCGGCGCCCGGGGACAAACTTTTCGATTTTAACCCCCCCCCCCCCCAGATTTCGATTTTCAACCCCCCTCCCCTCAAACTTTTGTTGTGCACCCCCCCCCCCCCCCACTCAAACTTTCGATTTAAACCCCCCTCAACCTTTCAATTTATTTTTCCAAACCATTTTGGCGCCCCAACATATGTCCCCCCTCCACCTCCCCCGCCTCCCCTTCGACAGCTGATCTTTAGATCTAGAGAAATTTATTGTAAAACTAAATGAAAAAAAAGACAGTTGAAAATTGATATAAGTGTTGGAACGTAATAAATACAGCAAACGGACGTATTGTTAAAGTTATGACCGACAGAAAATTAGATTTAGAACGCGTTAAACTTTGGAATGGGAACACAATTTTCTTCGATAGACGCCGCCATTTTATTGTACTAAAGAGTCAACAAAAAACTCTGACGTCACTATCAAGGGACGTCACTATCCCCACAAAGTTTACTTAGTGTTTTAAAATTTAAAAAAAAAATGTTGTTAATAAATCTATGAATAAATCAATAAATTAATTAACGTCTTTAAATAAATTTGTGATTAACAGTCTGTCTGCATTAAAAAATTATTCTCTACCTACATACTATTTTACAGCTCTCCAGATAGAGTCGAACATATCAGAATACTCGATCAGGCAAACAAACAAACAAACAAAAAAATAAATATTCAAACATGTAAACAAACTTGACTTTTAGTAGTATATAGATTGTTACAAACCTTAATGTTTTTAACTTTTATAAATTTGTCTGCTGCAATATTATTGGTGGTGGAGGAGGGGGGGGGGGAAGTGGTAGGAGGCTAGATGTAAAAAGCATTTAGATTCGTTATATTTTCAACTGTAAGTAAGCAAGTGAAGTTCCCTTTCAAACCTGGTGTTTTTTTCTGTGACCTCGGCATATGATGAGATAGTAGGGTCAACACTATGCCCAGCGGCCTTTACTTTCCTTAACGTGAGTTAGGTACCTATCAGAGTTTGGTGGAATCAGGGACAATCTACTGACTTTAACCCTGATTCAAACTCGAGACTTACGGGTTAGCAGTCCAGTTCTCTACCGCTAGACCACTCCCTCACCATTTTCAACTGTAGGCGGTTTAAATTCGTATAGACCATTCCTTACCCCCCCCCCCCCCCCCACCATCATCCCCAACCAAAAAGATTACATAGTATCTTTATTGCGGCTTGGTCTAGGATATCTATATATATAATTCTCTTCTGGGAGCCGTTAGAAAACAAGCTGCAAGCGCGCGCCTTGCATTCCTCTCTCTTCCTCTCTATCGCTACCACCACCCCCCCCTCACCCCCCTTCACCCCCCTCACATTGTCAGGTGAGTTGTAGTTCATGCTAAATGTTTACAAAACAATCGTAGTGCAGGGTTTGGTGACGGCTATCAGGGGCAGATAAATTAGTTTGAAACTATTTTAAACTTAGAGGAGGTAACTAAGAGGAGGCTTATAACAGTGAAACATTGTGTATCGTAGCTTGGGAGTGTGTTTTTGAGATTGCATCAGAAAAGCTGTGCTAAGGGGGGGAGACGAGAACATGGCGTACGTTTGGCTGAACACGCTGTCGATGTGAAGACAAAATTAATGTATATAGAACGTAAAAGAAGGCTCGTTTTGTAATTTCGTATGTGATAGATGAAAGGTAGGGAAAAGGCCTGTGGCAAGTTTGTAACGTGAACCCAGTCACGCAAAAAAGGCTGTGACATTTTGGTGTCAGAAGTGGTCGGTGCTCAGCACCGTGAAGGAACAAATTAAATCTAGATTTAGTAGTGTAACTGAATAACTGTTCTTGCATCATTACGATGGAGTTATATGACAAATACATTCAGTGGGCTGATTCGTTAGGTTACACTGCGGCAGAAAAGGCCAAATGGGTTGAAAAGAAGGTAGCTGCTGAAAGGGAAGACAGAGCTCGAGAGAGGGAACTAAATAGGCAAAAGGAACTAGATCTAGCCAAAATTGAGGCTGACAAGGAAAAGATTAAACTGGAGGCCGAAGAGAGAGAAAAACAGAGACAATTAGAAGATAGAGAAAAACAGGGACAATTAGAAGATAGAAAAAAACAGAGACAACATGAATTAGAGTTAGAAAAAATTAAAAGTCACCAATTTTAAGACAGCAAGATTCACAATAGATTCACAATATGGACAATTTGAAGCCTAAATTCAGAGCATTCAAACCACAGGAAGAAAGTGTGGAAACTTATTTAATACACTTTGAGCAAATATGTAAGAGTTTTAATTATTCACCTGCTGGGAAGGCACAGGTTTTATTGTCCAATTTGACAGGAGAAACTATTGCCATAATAGCAAGATTGTCTGAGGCTGAAAAAGAAGACTATGACCTAGTAAAAGGAAGATTGATGAAACATTTTGGAAAGACAGAAGACTATTACAGAAAGACTATAAGAGATGCTAGAATTAACAACACTGGTGACATAAACCAGATCATTTTTGACATTCGCAAATGCATGAACAAAAGGCTAGAATTGGCAGAAATAGATTTAAAGAATCCTGAAGCAATTATTGAACTCAACCTGATAGATCATGTTTTAAATAATGCAACAGATAGTTTATTCACTTTTTTGAGTGAAAGAAAAGTTAGGACACAGAAACAATTAATAGAGCACCTCAATATTTATAAGGATGCACATCCAGGGGCTGTTTTGGACAAAAGAGAGCAGGAAGAGATTTCAGCAGCAGTCTACAGTAGAGACTCTAGCATGGATCAAAGAAGGTATGTCAACAGCAAGAGAGATAGAAGCAACAGTGCACCTACCACATGGAAACCAGACAGGTATAAATATAGCAGAAGCACAGAGTGTTACAACTGTGGAAAAAAGGCCATGTTAAGCCTGAGTGTCTCAGCTCACAAAATAGAGATACATATCTCAGCAATAATTACAGAGGAGGTTATGCACCTAATAATAACTATAGAAATCAAAATAATTATTACAGTATAATGGACAAAGTAGAAATGAATTCCACAATCAAAGTAGACAGCCAAGAATGAGTCCAGACAACAGGGGAGAAAATAGAATTAGTAGAAACAATCATCAAGAGATATCAGCAGGGGTAGAAGGGTCAGAGATGGTGGCATCTGTTAGACAAAGCA